ATTCTTGTATTTTGATAGTTTTTTGTAGATCTTCAAAGATAGATTACAATCTGCAGGGACTGCCATGTCGATAAGAAGGCACATTCTGTTTTTGTGTTTCTTGATCACGATGTCTGGGCGATTAGCTTTGATTGTTCCGTCTGTGTTTTTAATATCGTCCCATAAAATTGTTACAGGTCCTATCTCTGTCACCGGGTCTGGGTGATGTTCATACCAGTTTCTTGCAGTTTCCTTCCTGCAAAAGTTGCACATTTTCCACTGCAGATTTTGTCCGACTCTATTATAACAAGTTTATATTCAGTGGATGCTGACACCGTGCAACCTGATACAAGATGGTCAATTGTTTCTGGATATTTATCACAGAATCTTCATTTCGGGTTAATACAATTGTTCAGTATGTGTGCTTGCTAATTTCTAGTTAGCAAGCACTGGTCCTATGCAGCAAGAATAAAACCTTAGGTTTCAACTCTTAACCTTGCATTACGTAGCCCCTGATGGGTACGGGATTTGTCTACATGAGCTTGTTTGATACGGACAGAGTATTGACAAAAAAGTGATATATCTTGACATTGTTTTGCATTTGAAACATTGGCATTTGCTTTCTTTTTTTAGGTTCTTGTGCAGCTGCAGTAGGTGCATTGTGATTTATTTCTACTTCTTTATCCGCTTGAAATTCCCTTTGGAATTTGTTGGCTTCCTTTATTACTGAATAAAATTTCTTCTTCTTTTCTTCTTCTTCTTCTTCTTCTTCTTCTTCTTCTTCTTATTATTATTATTATTATTATTATTATTTCTTACAGTTTCTTTCTCATAAAAGTTGCATATTTTCCAGTGCAGATATTAGCCCACTCTATCATGTCGAGATTTATATTCAGGGTGTGCTGACACTGTTCAACCTGAGACAAGATGGTCAATTGTTTCTGGATATTTATTACAGAATCTGCATTTCGAGCCAACATAATTGTTCAGTATGTGTGCTTGGTAATTTCTAGTAAGCAAGCATTGGTCCTGTGCAGCAAGAATAAAATCCTCGGTTGCAGCTTTTAATCCTGCAAAACAGCCCCTGATGGGTACGGGATTTGTCTATATGAGCTTGTTTGATACGGACAGAGTATTGACAAAAAAGTGATTTATCTTGACATCGTTTTGCATTTGAAACATTGGCATTTGCTTTCTTTTTTTTTTAGGTTCTTGTGCAGCTGCAGTAGGTGCATTGGGGTTTATTTCTACTTCTTTCCCTGCTTGAAATTCCCTTTGGAATTTGTTGGCTTCCTTTATTACTGAATAAAATTTCTTCTTCTTCTTCTTCTTCTTCTTCTTCTTCTTCTTCTTCTTCTTCTTCTTCTTCTTCTTCTTTTTATTATTATTATTATTATTACTACTACTACTACTACAAGTATGGCCTCATGGCTTCTGATCCTTATTGATTAGGGGTGTTAGCACCTGCATGTGTTGTTTTGGCGAATTAAGATGGTCTGCAATAAAAGTATATGCACATGAGGTTCATGAACTAGATACTATGGAACACCAGCAATCGAGGACTATCAGAGCTGACTGGCTTACACGACATGAAGTTATTTCTAACTGGGCCCCTACTTGAAAGGATATACGTGGATAGATATACCCACGAAACTATTCCAGCATCTAATAAGTAGTGAGTTTGAGCCTTACTGTGTGCCCTATGCAAAATAACCCAACTAGAGTTGACATGTAGTAGAAACAGACAAACATGATCTCCTGGATATGAAACTGAAGTGTTTCAAAATTAGAGAGAGTAGTACATTGAATGGATTCACTTTCCTATACTCACCCGGATGACGTAAGAGCGATACAATAGGTAAAGAGCTAGTGTAGCTGTGGAATATGACCGTGAAGGTGTATTCGTGTCAACCATGGTACTTGAACAAGATTTAATACTGTCTGACCATGGAATGATTCTTTGGGAGAGAAAGACGAGCACTTTATCTGCAAGGTGGAGTGTGTGAAATTCTCTATGCTTTTTTTCGGGCAATGGAATCTAAAACTCCGGTGTCCAGAGCTAATGCAGAACGGCTAACGCAAGGAGAGTAACGACCAAATGTTGGGTTATTGTATACAATCTCATTTCAATTCAAAACTGTTTCCTCACATTCGAGGTTCGTAGACGTCGAACTCTAAGATCGCTGTTACTGACATCACGGACTCGGATACTTCATTCCACTTGGGCCAGAAAACACGGATGTTTTGTTTCCAGCTCGTCCGGAAAGAGTTCATCTGTGAAGGAAGATGCATGAAGCTATAAATCCAGCCTGTAATAAATATAGTCATTTTCCAAGCGTAGCTTAGATGTGGCACAAGGCCGAAAATATGGGGCATCTAGTGAGGATTGAACTCACTTTTCAGTTGTAACTGATCTAGCGAGACAAGCTTGATAACCATTACACCGCCTTGAGGTGCCCTTTATTTTCCAAGCATACCTTAGATGTGGCACAAGGCCGAAAATATGGGGCATCTAGTGAGGATTGAACTCACTTTTCAGTTGTAACTGATCTAGCTAGACAAGCTTGATAACCATTACACCGCCTTGAGGTGCCCTTTATTTTCCAAGCATAGCTTAGATGTGGCACAAGGCCGAAAATACGGGGCATCTAGTGAGGATTGAACTGACTTTTCAGTTGTAACTGATCTAGCGAGACAAGCTTGGTAACCATTACACCACGTCGAGGTGCCCAACCTGTAATAAATATATTCTGCAAGCTGTCCTTAGCTCTGAGACGCAATAGGGCCTATCCAGCTGAAGTTCGCTGGATTCTACCTTGATAGGTAGGATATACATTGATCTTTGCTGCTCGCCATTCGCGGGAAGATAATAAAACCTACCTATCGGGACATGAATCTGGTTTCAGGATTACTACGCTGAATTTTCACGTACACCAAAACATCAACTTGAAAACTCAAATGATGTTCTTAAATAGCCTCGTCATAGCGAAAATTTAATACGGATGCCATGCTTAGCGCCAAACGTAGTTCAGAAACATCGAGATGGTCAGCTATACACAACTGCTATCTAAGATCTATGGTTAAAAAATGATGTGAGCTAGTGAAGCCTGAGTTCCTGGCAAAGGTCATTTTTCTTTGAACATTGTGGACTGTCACTGCAGATTCCGAAAATATCATATGATGACTACCAGCAGCCGCAACCACTAAAATACACAGGACATGTAACTCGAAGAGAAAATAATGACATAATCAAGATACTTGTCTTTCCACGCTACTTCAAACAAAAGGTGAGGAAGGAAACCTCCATTAATACTGGAAAGAACGACTTGAGAAACGTGTTTTCCTGCAATTTCTTTTAAGAGCGATATCTTTATAAATTTCATCCGAAAGCTGTACTGGCTGCTCGATCACTAAATTCCAGATGTTTCCTTATAAGGAAATGGCTAATATAAGCATTATCCACTGAACTCTACAGATTTAAACGCCATTGTGAATGTAAGGGATATATCGCAGACCTGAGTAAATTCCCTGCAATCACCCACTCAAAACACAACTCGAACTTCCCTGAAACAGACGTGGATAGATGTAACCACAAAATGGCGACAGTATATTTCTCTACGTCTCCATATTTTTAACGAAATCAAAAGAAGGGTCTGTAATATCTGGTCTGGTGCTCCTGCTGTTCATTTCGAGGTTCTCGACAAAATCCAAAGAAGGATCTCTAATATAATCGATCCTGACTTGGCATCTCGATTTCAGTCAATTTCCCACCGACGTGACGTGGCTTTCATATTTTTCAAGACAACTCTTCTAATGAGTTTTTTTCCCCTTGGTGCCCAGATTACATGAATTTAAGCGTGCTACTAAGATTGGCAACTAAATTTCACCATTTTACTGTTGAACTAACTAGATGTAACCCTCTCTTTATTATCTATTCTGATAATTTCTTTTCTCGCACATCTCATCTGTGGAACACCTTCCCGTCTATGCTTCCCTGATAAATACAATCCTCAAAATTTTAAATGCATCGTCAGTCGCCATCTTCCGTTTTCTTGAACACTTTGGCTTTTTTGTCCTTTCCTCAATCTTCCGCATTGTCAGTTTTTTCATTCTCTTTCATTCCTTGTAAGCCTCTGCGTTCTCGTTTTGAGATATATGAACACCTCTTCAATGCTTTGCTTCTCTCTTAACAATCTTCAAAAATATAAATGTCAGTCGCCATCTTCTGTCTTTTAAAACCCTTTGGATTTTTTTTGTCCTTTCCTCAATCTTCCCTATTGTCAGTTTTCTCATTCTCTTTCACTCCTTGTAACCCTCTGCTTTCTCGTTTTGAGATGTGGACCTCGTTTTCGATTTTTTGCTTCTCTCATAACTACAATCTTCAAAAATTTAAATGAAACATCAGTCGCCATCTTCCGACTTCTTGAACACTTTGGGTTTTTTTTTGTCCTTTCATCAATCCTCCCCATTCTTAGTCTTCTTATTCTCTTTCACTTCCTCTCTAAACTCTGCTTCCTAGGGGCATTATCGCCTTGCTTTGGGGTGAATCGATTAAAAAACAAATTCAAGGATTATTTTGACGAAAATTAACACTACACGTTATTATTGTTCGTTAATTTATTGGTACTTCTTTTTTATTATTTAGTTATGATTACGTGTTCAGTGCTCTGCCCCGGGGATATCAAGTCGCGTTGGTACGGGACAATTAACTATTGAGCAAGCAAGAACGGAAATATGGCGCGTGCCTGCACTTCTCCCACTCCTTTTGAAAGTTCCGTCAGGTTTATTTCAGTACTGTAAATAAAAATTAAACAATCAAGATTACAAAACATATCTGTGAATGCACGTCTGCCAAATTTTGAGTAACAACAGAGATACGAATTTAAAAAGTGAAAGAGAACAATAGAAAAAGTTAGAGAGGCCAGAGAAAGAGAGAATTTCCAAAACGGATGTAAGACTTGTAATTTGCCGCTCCACAGTACGTTCGACACTTACTGTACGCCAGATGGAGCGTTATTTCGATGACGCTAGGTAAAAGAGTAAGGAACGGCCACTTCGTTCCAGACATTGTGGCACCGTATCTGTTAATGAACAATAGAATTTTTCTTTGTTGTATGTAGACGGAATTGGACATTTTTGTTAGTCCATAACCGTATGTTGTGTCCTTCGGAGTACTAACGTCTCAAATAGAGACATTGACTTCTCAGCTAAGATTAAGGACCAGAATTTTATAAATAAAGTCAGGTGACTGTGGAAGGACCATGTTATCAAGTGCTTAAATATGAATCAAAGAAAAACAAAAACATATGGAGACAACTTAGCTTGTTGACTAACAACGAAAATTTAAATCTAGATTTCTGGGATGAGGTGTCCTTGTTTATATTATTTACAATCGGATCATTGTCCTCATTTTTGTTGTTAACAACGTTTCGTCCATTCTACCTTTTGACCATAATCAGGTGCTTGTCAATCCGGGTAACCTCCAGAGAATATTGAACTGGACACTTTATTAAATCTAGCGTGGGCTGCATATACATTTAACCATTATTCCTTTTATCGTAAAATAAAACGTTTTCAGTTTCGCTTAATGAGCGTTTACAGGTTGATAGTTATATTTATTAAGAATACTTTACATATTTATTTAAAATTCAATGTGACACACACCCATTTTGCTTTCATCGTAACCCTTAACCTATTCTCAGTGAAGGTGCATGGCCGCTTCACCAACTCTTCAGTAAAACTGTATCACAACGTCATGCTTGACACAATTGAGCATGAGATAAGAGAGATATCGCTCTCCAATACAGGCCATATCTTAGAGGATAGGATTAATGTCAGGGCTCGATGGCGATTTTATAAGCGCAACTTAGATGTGCAACAAAGCCGAAAGAATGTGACGCCCAGTGAAGGTCAAACTCACTATTCAGTTGTTATTGGTATAGTGAAGCATGCTTTCTAACCATTACACCTCGTCGGAATGCATAATGGCTGTGTGTGCGGGAGCTCTGTCTTGAGTGAAAACATAGTGATTTCCAAATACGGCCGGCAACCAGGGCAAAGCATCTCTCTCTAACATTTGATGGTAAACCCTCCTAATCACTCTCCTTCTTTTCCTTCTCCAAGAAACAACACGTGACTTTAGACAATTAGAAGCAACAGCAAATAAAACCGTGATACCAGTTGGATTCTGTCGTTTAAAATGTGTTCTAAGAACCCCGGGAATGTTTCATGATTAGTTGGCGTAAAGCCTATTATTTTTTTTATAGTTGATCACAACCTCCAGAGTAAAAAGCCTGTTAGCCGACCAAACACAGATTTTTGTTTTCGGCATGTTACATATTCTCCAACAATTTCATCCATCTGACAAGCTGGGTCTGTTTTGAAGCACCTAAGATGAGCTGCCGTCGTTCAATCTTATATAGCTGTTGCCATAAGTCCCCTTTCATAATCCTGCTTATCCAAAATCCCCAGTCCTCTTGCCAGCTCCTTTATGCTTTTCTAGGATTAGTTATCATCCTCTTCTAGACGGGTTCATTGATTCTGCTGATACGAACTGAATGGTTTCTTCCAGAAACTGGATTTGGTGAGGTTGTTTGCACCACTTGAAACCTTTTCCATACATTAACATTTAACATTCTGCATCATTTATAAATATTACTTCCCCTTTCACTGTATATGGAAACCCCTCAAAATATAATGTTTAATATATTAGTTCTATATATTTGAAATTGCAGGAACCAGGCTCTCAATTTCTGTCAAGAGTGTTTTAGTTGTTGCCATAGATGGATATGACGACACAACCAAGAAATTCAAATTCAACTTGCATAGGCAGGAATAAAATGTTGCTTGGTGAAAATAGTCACCTACAGAGTGATAAAGATTAAAAACATTTTTTTTTCTTTCCAACAAACGTCCAAATGATTTATTACCGAGAAATTTTTTCATAACAGCTATTTTCAATGTGAAAAATTGATCCTGTTTTGTTTGAGGCGCCTTATTTAATCAAACGGGAAACAGTAAAAGAAAAGAATGATAGGAAGCCTTATGCAAAATTTGAAACTGTTTTTACGTATAGGTATGTTTCAATTTATGTTTAAATAATGTATGTACACATTATTTAAACATAAATTGAAACATATTTTTATGTTTAAATAATGGGCAAATATTTTTGTCACATCCGGTACCGTGTTAGGTTGCTCTTGTTCCGCTGTCTATCTACGCCTAACCCGGCTTCTTCTTTTGCGTAAAGCTCAGTTATTCCTCATTCTGGTTGCAAAGAAGTATCTATCTATCTATCTATCTATCTATCTATCTATCTATCTATTTCATTTTCTTCCCATCTATCTATCTATCTATCTATCTATCTATCTATCTATCTATCTATCTATCTATCTATCTCATTCTGTTAATATCTCTCTCCTTCTGTTCATATCTATCTATCTATCTATCTATCTATCTATCTATCTATCTATCTATCTCATTCTGTTAATATTTCTCTCCTTCTGTTCATATCTATCTATCTATCTATCTATCTATCTATCTTTGTTCATTATCTATTGCAGTCTGTTAATTATCTCTCTCTCTCTCTCTCTCTCTCTCTCTCTCTCTATATATATATATATATATATATATATATATATATATATATATATATACAAATGGACAAAGTCCGACAATTATTAAATATTTTTTTAAATAATTTAAATAATTGTCGGACTTTGTCCATTTCATAATGTGTGAGGTCATTTGTTTACATTTGATACGCCATGAGCAAATATGAATGTACGTGAGAGATTCATGGAAAATTAAATTTTATAAGCAGTAAATTCGGCCTTGCCAACCGAACAATTCTTTATGGCAACTCAGGCTATATGACGGTTCCGTATAAGATACAGGATCGAATCCTGTCGAAGGACGATTATTTTCTATGAAAATTTCTCTGACATTCAGGTCGGTAAATGTTATTTAATACTGTTTATTATAAACAGAGCATTTACTTAAATACTTGTATCTATAAAAAGAATGTTAAACACAAAAATGTCTTTAAATACATATATATTAAAGATATATTACTGGTATTGGACGATACTTTTGATAATGTATAATTTCGGTTCAAGCTTAACAGAATAATCGTAATGAAATCGATTATGAACGAAAATAACATGTTCATCATTAATTAATCATGGAAAGCTCATGAATGATTGAAATAAAGCACACACACATATATATATATATATATATATATATATATATATATATATATATATCCAATGTATGATTGGTTTATACGGAATAAATTCCAATCACCAATAATTACTATTCTTAAAAGAGTGCTCAATACAGAGTAGAGCGAATATAATTATTTATTTAAAAATTATAACATAAATATGTTATAAAATCACTACAAAAATAGCCATTTTGTTTCAACACCTTTGGTGTCTTATCAAGTGATGATGTTGAATGTAGATCACTTGGTAAGACACCAAAGGTGTTGAAACAAAATGGCTATTTCTGTAGTGATTTTATAACATATTTATAGTTAGAATTTTTTAAATAAATAATTATATATATATATATATATATATATAATTATTTATTTAAAAATTATAGCTAAAATCATACCACGTGACAAAAAAAACTAAGGGGGGGTAAATATTTATTCAACAACAAAAAAAAAATCCTCAGTGGAAAGTCAATAACGGAAAAATGTCTAATTTAGTAGCCAAGATTTTTTATGTCTACATACATTAAGAATTTCAGTTTTAGAGTTTAATAGCTGGTTAGGTTGATCATATAAAGCTATGGCTAATTTCTCCTCAGCACATAATTTGCAAAATTTATGGCCTGCTTTATATTTTGGGCATTTTTTTAATATTTCCCATTTAAGGATGGGGTCTATATTATCCTCTTGTTTGGTTTTCGAAACGAGTCTAGTTATCTTATATATATATATATATATATATATATATATATATATATATATTTCAGGATCATTTTAAAACATATTCAAGATGATCTTTGCTCTCTCTAAACTTCTAACTTTTTATCCTAGAGTAACAAGACGCCATACACGTTTCACGTACTAGTTCATTTCCAAGTCTTTTTTCACTGCTCTTTGGGCTGTCATAGCTGAAACTTCTCTCTCACGTGCCAAACGTCTTATGAATTGAGTTGGATCTTTTCTAATTGATCTCAAGCTCTAAGTTGAAATGATGATCCCTCTTCTTCTTGTGACCTCCTGATCCAGATCTCTTCTCAGCTGTTCCCCTTTTTTAACTTAATAACCGTTCTCTTGATGATTTTCGAATGAACACTGAATATTGATGTCAGAGTATAAATGTTGGTATCATTACTGAAGACCTGAATGATCTTTTTTCCTCTCACCATTACTTATTTTTGGGCTGACACATAACGATTTTTACGTGTTCTATTTCTAGCTGAATATCTCAAAGGGGGTTTCATTGATTCTTACGAAAAATGCTGTCAAGTGGGTTAAACGTATTATCTGAAAACCTGGAAAAAAGAAATTCAATTACTTTCATGCTTTTTAGATATTAAACATTTTGTGGGATGGACTGTTATGCTGTTGCACGATTTGAACAATTTTGCTGTTACATCAAACGGTATCATATTGGTTTTTATTATATCTTATCTATCTATCTATCTATCTATCTAATCTATCTGTTTATATCTATCATCAAACTAATATCCTCATATTGGTTTTTATTATCACAATGTTTTGGATATTATGTATCTTCTGTTTATATCTATCATCAAACTAAATGTATAGCAATGTTTTTATTGTGTATCTTCTAATGTATCTATCTATCTATATCTATCTATCATCTATCTGTTTATATCTATCATCAAACTAATATCCTCATATTGGTTTTATTATCACAATGTTTTGATATTGTGTATCTTCTAATGTATAGCCTTCTATCTATCTATCTATCTATATCTATCATCTATCTAACTGTTTATATCTATCATCAAACTAATATCCTCATATTGGTTTTTATTATCACAATGTTTTGATATTGTGTATCTTCTAATAAGGCTGTTTATATCTATCATCTATCTATCTATCTATCTATCTATCTATCTATCTATCTAAGGCTGTTTATATCTATCATCAAATCCTCATCTTCAAACTAATATCCTCATATTATTTTTTTATTATCACAAATTTTGGATATTGTGTATCTTCTAATGTATAGCCTCTATCTATCTATCTATCTATCTATCTATCTATCTATTTTATTATCTAAGGCTGTTTATATCTATCATCAAACTAATATCCTCATATTGGTTTTTATTATCACAATGTTTTGATATTGTGTATCTTCTAATGTATAGCCTTTGGATATCTATCTATCTATCTATCTATCTATCTATCTATCTAAGGCTGTTTTATATCTATCATCAAACTAATATCCTCATATTGGTTTTATTATCAAACTAATACAATGGTTTTTGGATATTGTGATATCTCTTCTAATGTATAGCCTTCTATCTATCTATCTATCTATCTATCTATCTATCTATCTATCTAAGGCTGTTTATATCTATCATCAAACTAATATCCTATATATTATTCTATTTTTTATTATCATCAATGTTTTTTCATCAAACTAATATCCTCATATTATTTTTTTATTATCACAATGTTTTGGATATGTATCTTCTAATTATAGCCTTCTATCTATCTATCTGTATCTTCTGTTTATATCTATCATCAAATGTATAGCCTTCTATCTATCTATCTATCTATCTATCTATCTATCTATCTATCTAAGGTATCTTGTTTATATCTATCATCTGTTTATAATCATCAAACTAATATCCTCATATTGGTTTTTATTATCACAATGTTTTGGATATTGTGTATCTTCTAATGTATAGCCTTCTATCTATCTATCTATCTATCTATCTATCTATCTATCTAAGGCTGTTTATATCTATCATCAAACTAATATCCTCATATTGGTTTTTATTATCACAATGTTTTGGATATTGTGTATCTTCTAATGTATAGCCTTCTATCTATCTATCTATCTATCTATCTATCTATCTATCTATCTATCTATCTATCTGTCTGTCTGTCTGTCTGCCTATTAGTCTGTCTGCTATTCTTTACTTTCTAATTAATGTTCTCGCCTTTGTGAACTACTTCAGCCACGAGGCAGCTATTAAAACTATTTATTTTTAATAATCTCAAAACTGAACAATAACAAATTGGGGAATATGCTTAGAAAGATTGCGTTGCGCCAACCTTTCCAGCGGGAAGGATGCTATTGCATTGCATCCGTAATCTTGGATCGAACCCTGACCACATGCACTGGTAGGAAATAGGCAACAATCTCAGCCACAATTTCTACTCTGCTCCTTGTCGTCATGGGAACATCTACATTTATCACTCAACTCCCAAAATATGATGTTGTGGACATTAAAACGATTAAATTGCTGGGGTTTTGTGGTGATAATAGAGTAGTAAAGGAGACATCCGGCCACTTACACTTCAATGATAAATTCTAGTTTGAACACACAGATACAAGGATTTAATAATCTTATATAAAAGTACAGTGTATGAATATGTATGTTTATGTGTGTGTGTGTCCAAGCAACTCCTCCGTTCACACTAGTCCGATTTCAATGGTTCATAGCTCATTCAAAAGCCCTGGAAAAGTTAGGTTCGGGTAACGATTTTCGTTGAGCTCAGATGCAGGGTTGCCAGATTATGCGAGGTTTAAAATATATATTGATATATTATACGAGCCATTATCGTTCATGGTTCAAGGGAAGTAACTCTTATTTTCCTTTTGTATACAAAATTGCAGTGCACGTTTTATTATAAACTAGCTTAAAATCCGCCCTATTGGGCGGCACTTAAGATAGCTCCTGTGAAGGACGCTTGGTTTGACCATCATCACAACAGCTAGGGAAGAGTATAGGCAATAAACTACAGAAAAACTAAAAATTGATCGTTGTAATTACGTATTGAATTATTGTTTAAGCTCACCTTTTAAAAGTCTGATGATAATTCTTCTGCTGACACTTAATTTAAAGACGATTTGATGTACGTAGATCTTTTTTTTTTTTTTCGTACAAACAATTATTTTTCTTTCATGGGTGACAGAACAGGGGACAATGTCTAAGATAAAATTAATATAGTGTAAAGATGGGAAAATAGAAATTAGAATTAGTTATACATTCAGCACTTGAAGTGTTAGAGAAACATAATAGCTAATTGAGCAAAACCTATATTAATCCCAGAATCCGTTAGATAATTGGGCTCAATTCTAATTTTATAGTAATTTGTACACTAAGTGGTTGAAATTGCCAAAGACTTAAGTTGTTAAATCTGAAAGAGAAAGAAAAAAAATTATTAGACGCTTAAAATTAATTCACATTTAAAATCGGTCCAGGTTGTTCCACAAAGGAGCGGTCCGTGGGAAGAAGCTACTCGAGTTGAACTTACATCTCACCAGCGGGGATATGAAGGGAATGAGGGTGGTTCGCTACAATGTGGGTGGCAGGGCGGGTCATAACGGTAAAGGTTAGGACTGGTGGAACTAAGGAATATAGATCGTCTGAACATTTCTCCATGGAAATAACGATAGAGAAACAAACAGATGGCGACGTTTCCTATGTGAGATACGGATCGTACATTTATGTGCAAATATCCCTGGGAGAGGAATTTATCCATATTCTCCACCAACTATGGGTTAAATAGTATGATTAAAAATATCTTTGTTATTCTCAAACAAATTATTGATATTAATTCTCGGAAAAAAATTCCTTTAATCCGAAAATATGGTTCGGCTTTAACTAACTCACAAAGGGTCGACAAGCCGTAAAAATCAATCAATCAATCTTTAATTGTAAATTTCTATCCAGAATCTATCTTACATATCTATAAGTCCACTATTCGCCCGTGCACAGTGACATTTGGTTCGGTGCTCCTGCTATTTATTTAAAGATTCTTGAAAAAATCCAAAGGAGAATCAGCAATATTATTGGTCCTGATCTGGCTTCTCGGCTTCAGTCACTTTCCCATCGCCCTAATGTTACTTCTCTCTGTCTTTTCTATAAATACTTTCATGCCAATTGTTCGGATGAACTTTCGCTATGGTACCTAGACTTCATGACTTTAAGCCCAGTACTAGATTGGCAGCTAGGTCTCATCAATTCACAGCTGAATTGGCTAGATGCAACCGTAAGTTCTACTCTGACTGTTTCTTCTCTCGCTTGTGGGACTCTCTTCCGGTTTCATGCTTTACAGCCAACATTGATCTTCAAATGTTTAAATGCAATATCAATCGTTATCTACTGCCCGCCTGATTACTCTTCTATTGTTCCCGCTCCTTCTTGCTTTTTATTTTCACATTCTCTCACGCTCAGTAACTCTTTGTGTCTTTTTGGCTTTACTGCCTTGCTTGGGGTGAATTTGATTTAAAAAAATCTTGTTACTTTATGTCTCATGCTGTTTTTTTTAAACTTGTAGAATAAATAAATAATAATAATAATAATATCTTGTATATTTATTAGCTGACGTACGGTCAGCCATAATTAATTAAGAAAAGTTTTGGGAGTTAGCGCCTGGCCAGGGTCTTTTCTTTTGTTTCTCAAACTATATGCATTCTAACAACCTGGGCATTTACGAAACCCCTCATATCAATGAAGATAAAACAACTCCTAATCAAAATTAATACTGTATTTTATCGTCACTATTATACGACTGGATTAGTTTACGACTAATAGTCATTTTCTTAATTTACGACTATAGCATTTATGATCTTACCGGTTGTATTGATTTATAACTATCTCATTTACGATAGGGCAATAGTCATTTTCTTAATTTACGACTATAGCATTTATGATCGTTAAGCGTCACTATTATACGAATGGATTAAAAACTAACAGTTGTAAGGAAACAAAACGTATAGTTGTCGGCAAGAGGAAGAACTCCAGGTCCGAACTACGAATTGGAGGAACCAAAATCATACAATTTAGAAAATATTTGATGTTTAAGAAAGGACAGAAAATGTGACACCGAAATCCGAAGACTCACCGGAATAGCGAAAGATGCCTTCCAAAATCCAAGCAAAGTATTGAGAAAAAGGAAAATTTTCTTAAAAAACAAGTAAAACAGTCTGTCTAGATTTCTGAGATAAGGTATTGTAGTTATTTATGCTATTTACATTGTTCGGACATTTGTCTTAATCTTTACTGTCATGGACTGGTTGAAGTAATCCACCCCCCAAAAAAGGTTAATTCAATACCTGACCACAGTAAAGGTGAACAAAAAGTTGGAGATTTGAGTTACTAAAGGAACATAACTGAAACTTAGGTATCCGGAAAAAAAAAGTATCAGGCGTGGAATTAGAAATAACTGCCCCGGTGGACTAAATAAAGGGTCCCATTCGAAATTCCAAAGTATATCACCTGAAGATGACTGGAGCATATAACGGCCGAAACGTCGTAAATATGATATTAGCGATGAGTACAACAGCCCGATCACTGTAAACAGTGTAAGGAAAATAGTCCTAAACTCTTATGCAATATCGGTTCTTTCTACGGTGGAGAAATGGATAGCGTCTCGGATTGAGGAATCGGAGAGCCGAGTTCGAATTCTAGTTGAATACATTAAAGGTATGAATCTTCTCCTTCCATCTATTGGTAAATAGCAGGAGAGACCTTAACCAATCATCGCACCTGGTTTGGCCATCATTGTGTTTAATCCGTGGCGTAATGGATAGCGGCTCGGATTGCGGAATCGGAGAGCAGAGTTCGAATTTCAGTCGAATCCATTACATTCACTTACGTGCTAATACCCTTGGACAATCTCTTCGTAGATGAAGAAGAGACTTGAGAAAGAAATATGATTCTACAGAAGAACACATAATGAAAAAAATGTGCCTGTAAAATTTGACACCTACAGAATAATATGGAAGGCAAGACAGAGAAAAAACAGCAAGTAACCCGCCTAACGAGCTTGTGTAAATGGATGTCAAGAAAAGGAATGATAAGGATAGTGAAAAGAAACACTGTACTAAGATCTACATTGGATAAGAAGCTGTGGAGACCCATGATCGTCCACGTCCTGAAGGGACACGGCTCAAAGAAGAAGATGTGTATACAACCCTCTGATGTATTTGGTCTCAGACTGTAATCACTGAAGATGAAACTTCAGGCAACAGAAATATGATTCTACAGAAGGATGATGAGAATGTCATGGACTGAAAACAAGTGAGCGACGGCGAAGTTTTAGAGAAAATGGACAATTAGAAAGAGACAGTTGAAGTTTCTAGGACACATCTTGAGGAAAGTTGGCTTGGAATATTTGACACTCACGGGATATATGGAAGGCAAGAGCGACAAAGGGAAAGCAGAGAGTTACCTGCCTAACGAGCACGTGTAAACGGATGGCAGAAAAGAGATGGTTGAGATAGTGAAAAGAAACACCTCACTAAGATCTATAATGGGTAGGAAGTTGCGGAGGGCCATTACCGCCCACGTCCTGAAGGAACACGGATCAAAGAAGAAGACGGGTATACAACACTCTGATGTCTGTGGTCTCAGACAGTAATCACTGAGCTAATATCCTTAAGTTCTGTCCAGATGTACGCCTCTGACCCATATTAACATCTGGTGTGCATATGTCTGCAGTGACCGAGATAAGTCTTTTCACGACTTTCTTCAATGTCTGTGATTGTATCTTACTTGAATTCTTTCTTTCCGTCGCTGTCATGAATTGTGTTCAAACATTACTCAAATTTCCATGCAGCCCATGGGACGTACACACTTTGAAGTAAGTAAATTTATTATGTTGATAACGATCAAATCAACTATTTCGTCCTCAGATTCCCAAAACAAAACTACAGTCGACTCCCACAACAAAAAAAAACCAGTATTATTATTATTAATAATATTACACATTGTGTTTCCATACAAGTAACTACTGGTTTTCAATTTAGGGACAGCAAGTCTCAGTATTCGAAACCGTTCTGGGTATGACGATAAACTAAATCCGCGTCCTGGGTATGACGATAAACTACGACCGACAGCAAGGCCTCTGATCAGGAGGTTCTGAGGAGCGCGGAACCACCTCTTGATTGCTTGTGTTCTCAGGTTCACTCTGACACGGGGTGGTAGCACATGTTAGGGTCTCAGCTATGAGCAAATAGCTGACCCCTAAACTGGGGTCAAAACACCATGAAAGTGTTAAAATAGGTTTTAATACCAGAAATACTTTTTTGTAAATAATTATTACCAGAAATTTATTATTACCAGAAATAGATTTTTGAAGAAAAAATATTTATTTATAATATATATATTTATAATACATATATTATATATATTTTCAATATTAATATTATATTTATGTAATATATTTATTATTATTATTATCATTATTATTATTATTACTATTATTATTATTATATTATATATATATATATATATATATTGTGTGTATTTAGGAAGCATTTTTTCATTCATACATGTTTCATTAAATAATATAGACAAGTGTTGTCTATTTATTTTATGTAAATTCTTTTCATAACGTCTGATAAGCTTAATAACATTATCATTAAACGAAGAAAGAAAATCACAATATTGATCCATATTTTTTAATCCAATCTAAGCTTTCGGCTTACATAAGCCATTATCAAAGATGCCAATTACTGTACAACATATTAAGCAATATACGGACAAGGCAGTGATGATAATCTGTGATTGTTTACATGGATGATTTCCTAGCAACGATAAAATATGTATAATTGGTAACAGAAGCCATTGGTTTATGCCAACATAAATACATAGCAGAAGCATCAGGCCCAGTGTGACAGCAATATTTAATGCATGGAGTAATGGTAAACTTATAGATTTTGGCGAGAAAAATCGTCTACCGCCACACGGTAAACCACCTTCCAAGTAGTAGACCTAGCAGGTGGTTTTATACAATATTCCCAATTCATATTAGCGGAAAACGTTAGCCCCAAAATGCGCAATAAGTCTTTCTCCCGGAGGTTAGCATCAGCCATGGCGATGAAAAGCAAAAATAATGTTTTTCCGGACGAGTAAAAGATAAAAGTATGACTTGTCATAGCTTAATGCGATAGTCTTGAACTAAGAAAATGAGACTTGCCCTATCGTAAATGAGATAGTTATAAATCAATACAACCGGCAAGATCATAAATGCTATCGTCGTAAATTAAGAAAATGAAACTTGCCCTATCGTAAATGAGATGGTTATAAATCAATACAACCAGCAAGATCATAAATGCTATCGTCGTAAATTAAGAAAATGAGACTTGCCCTATCGTAAATGAGATAGTTATAAATCAATACAACCAGCAAGATCATAAATGCTATCGTCGTAAATTAAGAAAATGAGACTTGCCCTATCTTACATGAGATAGTTATAAATCAATACAACCAGCAAGATCATAAATGCTATCGTCGTAAATTAAGAAAATGAGACTTGCCCTATCGTAAATGAAATAGTTATATATCTGTAGGACCGTTCAAATCATAAATATGTAAATGAAACCAAAATATGGCTGTGTATCAGAGAACTATGTGCTAACAGTGGGAAGAGAATGGGATATTGGAATAATGACATCCTCTTATGTTTATATAGAAGTTTGTTATGCGACGATAACGGTCGCGGAAAAGTAGACGCAGGTGATAAATTCGTAATTCTTTGATGGTGAACATCTCTCTTTAGTGTCCATATAACCACTCGGATGATCGCTCAAGTGAGCCGAAAGCTTAGATCGAGGAACAGCATTATAAAAAAATATCCAAATGTTGAACAGTTTTTGTTTTTATTTTATCCCAAAAGTAATGCCACTATACGAAGCTTAAAACGGCTCATTATCAAATATAATAGACATTCGTTGTCTGTTATATTTAATAATATATATATATATATATATATATATATATATATATATATACCAAAATGATGTGCATAAGTACGTGTATCGCAATCGATGTGTGCTTGAATTTACAGTCAAAATAGTACAGATAGATAGATAGATAGATAGATAGATAGATAGATAGACTGAAGCAGTTAAATAGTTAAAAAGATAGACAATTATACAAATATAGCACAAATTTTCCACGTATTCATATATATATATATATATGTGTGTGTGTGTAAGCAAATATATGGATATAGATCCGACAGTATGAAGAAAAATATATACGGAAAAAACAAGCAAAAATCCTTATATACGATTATGCTGTTTTAATGTTAATATGTCAACGTCGGACGTTTCGGTCTAATAAACCATCTTTAGGACATATTCATAAATTGTCGCCCACGTGACGACAACGTGACCATGTTTTAAACGGAGCGCTGATCTTATAAAACTTTCAGTTATTTGTTTGGATAAGTCTTGTTCCATCGTCCATGTACATCGTCTTTGTCATGTATTGATAATGTTATATTTATGAATATCGTTACGGTAAGCAACTAATGTCTTTAAAGTGTTGTTTTGTAAAAGATTGTGTTCATATAGTCTTTTAAAATTCCTTGGGGTTTCTCCAATGTATTCCTTGTGGAAATTATTACAGGTAATATAGTAAATTACATACATTACAAGTTTTAGCATATTGTTTGGTTTTTTTTTTTTTGGGGGGTATTAAGTTCTTATCATTTTAGACGAAGTTGTGATAAATTTTTTGTTGAGTTTAAGAAAATCCTTTTCAATTTTAGTTGTGATAGAGTTAGTTGGTGGACAAATATATTTTTTTGATACGTTGGGTTTGACAGGAGGGGCCGCTTTATTTTTATCCGTAATATTTTGTGAGCCTTTTGTTTTGCATTGAATATGAAATAGTTAGGATACTGGAGAATTTTGAAAGTATTTTCAAAATATTTCCCCTCTTTGTGTAAGTATTAAGGGCTGCAAATTCTGAATGCTCTTAAGTAGAATCTGATGATTATTCCAGATTTTGTTTTGCTGTTATGATTGGAACAGAAATTATTAAGTTAATTTTTATTAGTTGATTTTCGGTGGAGGCTAAAATTTCGCTACTGTTAACGCAGTCTAGGAAAAGTAAAGTACTGCATCTTCCGATTTCATATGTAAATTTTATTGTATGTTCGACTTTAGTTTATCAACAAGATCTGATAAGTCAATATCATGTGAATATATTAAAGAAGAATCATCAGTATATAGGAAGTATGTTGAGTGCTTCGTTAAAGTATTTTGGAAAGGACATCAATCAGCTTGGAGGCGACATATTTGTTAATCCACATTTTTGTTTATAAAAATTATTATCAAATATGAAATAACATTGATTGGTGATGAGACGGCAGATTTTTATTATTTTGCCCATAGGTAGGGGGAAGTTTATCTTTGATTGAGCTAGATGCTATTTTTTCAAACGTATATGTGTAACGCAATCGATGCATATCTGACAGGCAAACAAACAAACAAGCAAATAGATAGATAGATAGATAGATAGATAGATAGATAGATAGATAGATAGATAGATAGATATGAAGAAAAGAAATAGATTGATATATACATAGATACATACATACATAAATACATGCATACATTTTTCAAACGTATATGTTTAACACATTCGATGTTTGCCTGACAAGAAACAAACAAGCAGATAGATAGATATGAAGAATTGAAATAGATAGATAGATAGATAGATAGATAGATATGAAGAATTGAAATAGATAGATAGATAGATAGATAGATAGATAGATAGATAGATAGATAGATATGAAGAATTGAAATAGATAGATAGATAGATAGATAGACATGAAGAATTGAAATAGATAGATAGATAGATAGATAGATAGATATGAAGAATTGAGTTAGATAGATAGATAGATAGATAGATAGATAGATAGATAGATATGAAGAAATGAAATAGATACATACATACATACATACATACATACATACATACATGCATGCATACATTTTGCAAACGTATAAGTTTAACACAATTGATGTTTGTCTGACTGGCAAACAAACAAGAAGATTGATAGATATGAAGAATTGACATATGTAGATTGACAGACAGATATGAAGAATTGAGATAGATAGATAGATAGATAGATAGATAGATAGATAGATAGATAGATAGATAGATATGAAAAACTGACATAGATAGATAGATAGGAATAGAATTAGAGAAAAGATAGATAGATAGATAGATAGATAGATAGATAGATAGATAGATAGATAGGAAAAATTGAGATAGATAGATAGATAGATAGATAGATAGATAGATAGGAAGGAATAGAATTAGATAGATAGATAGATAGATAGATAGATAGATAGATAGGGCAGGTATTGGGTGGAATTCTGCAATGAAAACCTAGATTAATGGATGAACAGATGGAAGAATTATTATTGCAACACAACCCAATTGCCTGCTAAATGTTCTTTGAAAATATCTTGTATCTGTTGCATTCTAACATAGTAGAGGTCTGGACGGGTATATAATCCTGCTTGGGTGGTCGATGCTCTACCCAGTTCTTAGCGACCCCCAACCAAAGCTCAAGAGAACTTCCTTTCCAAAATTATTTACTTTTGTGCACCTCATTCCTTTACTTTTCGTTGGCGATCCCGGGATACAGTGATTTGGGAGCTTTGAGACGTCATCAGGCGGTCTTCTCTTACACTGGTTACGGAAATGGCAGAAATCTCCTGGGAGTTCCACCAGACGGCAAGTTTCTTTCCTCATAATAAAAATGCACAGTTCTTTCTCGCCGAACATTTCTTTTGCGTCTTTTACATTAATAAGAAATACGAATAAAAATGTCACGTATCTATGCTTCTGTAAGTAAACATATGCTTTTTTGTTTTGTTTTTTAAGAAATGACTTTCTTTTTTGATATATATATATATATATATATATATATATATATACACCAGAAAATGAAAAATTACCTCATTTAGGTATAGATCTATTTCAGCCAACGCGAATTACGTCGGGCTTATTCAACCACGATAGTTGGATTGTCTTATCCACCGGGGTTGAAAAAAAGACTGACGTACCCCAACTATGTAGACCAACGTGTATAGCGACAAAGTTCTTAAATGTTTGTAACAGCAAAGTTTTATATAAAAATGCTAAATTAAAATATAATTAAAAGCCTTTTTCTTTTCTTTCTTATTCAGCCCCGGTAGATGGCCAGTCCGTCCAACGGGGTTGAATAAGACCGACGTACTTCGCGTTTGCTGAAATAGATCTATACCTAAATGGGGTAATTATTCATTTTCTTTGTAATATATATATATATATATATATATATATATATATATATATATCAAAAGAAAGTCATTTGGGATTTTTTTTGTGCAATTTATATGCTCTGCTATAATATATACATTGAGCTCTTTTTGTGTATCTCGTGTATGTAGATAGATTTAATATTTTAAAAATGAATTTTAATCCAGACTTTCAGTGTTATTGTTGGTATTTAGATGAAGACTATGAAAGGCCTCATCTAACGTTATCAATACTATGATCCAGATTGTTCTCATGTGCAGCTACTGTTGCGATATATATATATATATATATATATATATATATATATATAGATAGATAGATAGATAGATAGATAGATAGATAGATAGATAAATAGATAATGAAAATATCACCCAGACTAAAAATGGATTCAGATATAAAATCTGTTTGGTCAAATGTTGAGATTTTAGGAAATGGGTTGTGACACCTATATGCCAGTACACACACACACACACACACACACACACACATACACACACACACACACACACACACACTTTCTCTCTCTCTCTCTCTCTCATATATATATATATATATATATATATATATATATATATATATATATATATATATATATATATATATATATATATATATATTGTAAAGGTAACAAATCCGTTGGTATATAATCCAAATGGAAACTAGTAATGTAAAATATTAAAGCTGATCCGCAAAAACAGCTGAATACATTTATTATTGCAGAGCAATATATTCAATAAACAATAAAATCAGATTAAATCAGAGGAATGAATTAGTGTTAAAATGTCGACATAAAAACAAATTCAAATTTCTACAATATAGGTTTATCTTAATCGACTACTATATATTCATAATATTCATACCCTCTAACGCTTCAAATGTCAAATGTATAACTAATTCTAATTTCTATATTCCCCACCATCCATAACCTCTTTACCTATATTAATTATAATTTATAAACTTTCCCCTACTCTAAAATCTCCCAAACTCTCTTTCTATTAATCCCTTACATCCATATATTTTAAAGTTATTTTAAAACCCCTTTTTATTCTTTTAGTTTAAAATTATTATTTCATTCTTTATTTCAACATATATATATATACATATATATGTGTGTGTGTCTGTATATATATATATATATATATATATATATATATATATATATATATATATATATATGGGGAGTAATCGAATGGTTTGTACGTGCACTTTCCGACCGTAATACACAAGTTCGAATCTCATCATCGGTTAATCTTGATATTATTGCCATGGGGAAGCGAAAATGTCTGCAAATCATACCGCAGGTTTATGGAACTGTACGGAGGTTGTTGATATTTATGCGAGCAAGAAGTCACAAGTCACCGTGTCCGAATGGTTGAGTCGTCTGGCCTTGCTGTTTATGACAGATTATTCGCTTTCGCCGAGAAACTGTCACTAAGATCCGCTCAAATTTTTGCAATATAAACCAGATTTGGGGTGTGTGGTTTTTGAACAAACATAAATATGCCTGATCAGACGGCTACAATAGGGACTGGCTAGCCACCCTAGTAGATAGGTTTTCGGAAACGGGTAACCAGCCATTATGGAGACACACGGGCTTTGGATAATATGTAGCCAGAATCAGTTAATAACTAACTTTAGAGGTGAAGTCTTTTATCAACACCCTAGCAGCATGGCCCGGCTTTGCCCGTGCTTGATTCAAAAATCGTACGACTCATACAGCAATCGCTATCACTTGACTTAAAATATTTTTGCCCTTCCTTGCCTTTAAAGGAGTGCCCTTTGCCGTGCTGATGTTGGCACATGCCTTACTTCTTGCCTATCGCACACTGAGAATTTTTTCTAAGCTCTATACTAAACATTAAATCTGTTAGGAAAAAAGAGCTAAACAAAATGAACACAAAACGATCAGCTTTAAAAAAGGACTCGTAACTTGAAAAACCGAATGAAAAAAGAATGTTAACAACAAATACTTTTTCACACCCAACCCAGTTCTGCGAAATCAGAATCAACGTTGAGTTTAATCAAACGAATGAGCCAATTGGAATAAAGTGCCAAGCAGATTTAAATTTTTCCCACTTGTGACGAATGCAGCTATCGATTTTTTTGCATGCTAGTTAACATTCGTGTCAGTCAGCTGTTGGCTCTCACGCTGGCCAATAGAATCTTCCTGCCTATTCGTGGCAGCCAGCTATTGGCTCTCACTCTGGCCAGTAGAAAATGGCCGCAAACTACATGAAAACTGCCGTAGAAGCATGAAAAAATCGATTATTTACACTATCGATGGGAGTTGGGAAATGCAAAGTCAGTCTCAATGTGCATGTAAATTTTGGTGCAAATCCGCTGGAAATTGCGGCCGTGCATTCGTCACGCACACACACACACACACACACATCCTACCTTTTATAGATAGAGATTAATATATATATATATATAGTGTATGTGTGTATGTGTGTGTGTGCGAATGAATAAATTATCGTCTAAATTATACAATAGATATATTTACCAAAGTTGGACAAAAATATCTCGAAATACTAAAGATTAAATCTCCTGCAACTCTTCTGGGTGGTCTCCTTGTGAATACTGTCATAATACTTGTTGCCTTCCGTTCGACTTTGGTGCTACAAGAAATTGTACTGGCCTCTCTCTCTCTCTCTCTCTCTCTCGCTCTCTCTCTCTCTCTCTCTCTCTCTCTCTCGCTCTCTCTCTCGCTCTCTCTCCCAATTGCGCCACACGCGTAATAATCAAGGAGGGTGCAGTCTGGGGAGTTAGGTCGCTAGATGTAAGGGGTGATGCGGTCACAGAATTTGTCTGATAGCTATGACTGTGTTCTCCTTCTTGTTTGGCATGGTGCAGAGTCCTCTTCCCATTTATATGGTCTTCCAACGGCCGCCCTCTGGAACCAGTGCATTATAGCCTTCTCAAGGCCCTTGACGTAGGCCTCCGTGTTGAGTCTAAGGCCCTGTGGGAAGAGGAATAGAGGCATAAAGTTGCCGTCACTAGTGATCACTCCAAACACCTTTATAATCACCATTAGACTCATTCAACTCTATCCGAATCCTCTGCACAGTCCTTAAATTGACAACCAAACACACTAAAATACTCATATTGAAGCTTCCGGTGCGAATGCCACGCAGTACAGCATGCCGTTTCCAAATTTCTGGCAGAGTGGATTACGTCATGGTGCATGTTTTCTCACTGACAGTACTCAACTGACCCTACTATATTGTGCAGTAAACAAAACCAATATCAAAATAAGTGCATGGGCGAAATTAAACATATAAAATAGCGACAATTTACATATCGCACATTTTACACACACACACACACACACACACATACATATATATATATATATATATATATATATATAAAGACTTTCGATTATCCCGGTCGTTAGAAATCAATTACACTGATTAAAAAACAGGGATCTATACGCAGATATGTATATTGTAAATAGTGATAATTTTTATATATATATATATATATATATATATATATATATATATATATATGTGTGTGTGTGTGTGTGTGTGTGTGTGTGTGCAGTCACACACATACACACACATATACACACAAACACACACAAAACACACACACATATATATATATATATATATATATATATATACATATATTGTATTTGTTATACGTTTTTATATTTTTCTCATTGGAGTATATTATTTCACGTTGTGGTATCTTATTAATATTTTTTAACAATTTATCCCAAGCAAGGCGTTAATGCCACTAAGATGCAAGAGTCTACTGGATGTGAAAGAGAATAGGAAGACTATAGAATGAACCGGAAACCCGGTCCTAAGCAGGAAACAAGGAATAATCCTCTACCCTTGTAAGCCCTGGGGTGGGGATTTTGAACCGGATGATCGGCGAACCCATCTACCCTGTAGATATAACTTCTTTTTTTTTTTTTTTTTTCGCTAGAAAATTGTTTTTCCGTTAGTGAAAGTTTTTCTCTGTTCATGTTTTGAGAAAGCCATTTCCTGTCAACAAAAGCGGGAAATTTGCACCAAAACATATCAGCTGATTTAGCGCTTTTGTTTCAACTTGTAATTTGAGTCCAGATCTCAGAGGTAAAAACCCTCGCCTGGAAGAAAAAACCTTTGGGGACCTCTGTTTATGAAACCGAATAACTTGAACTATTTTTAAGAAACGGGTGGAAAAATAAAATAAAAAAATAATGCTTTTACTACTTATTTATATGTCATCAACAGGTGTGAGATATTAACCCTGTGTAACCGATATTCACTATATATATATATATATATATATATATATATATATATATATATATATATATATATAGCGTAGCATTAAAGTCACTATACAATTACTTACAATAAAAAAAAGCAAA